CAAAAGACTTCATGACCAGAGGTGGAAAGAGTACAAAAATATTCTGCGTAAGTAAAAGTACGATTACTTTGATGAACTTTTACTTAAGTACAAATAAAGTCGCTGGTATAAAAATCAAGTAAAAGTAAAAAGTAGGTCATTTAAATTTACTTATACTCTACTCAGAGTAAATGTTACTTAGTTACTTTTTTAACCTCCTAAAATAACTTATTTACATTGATATAATATTATATATTAATATCTTATTTATATGAATTATACTAATGGAACAAAGCCATATCGTGCTTCCAATTTTAGTTTGTTTGACAGAAACTTTGCCCAATCAATGACGAAAAATAATGACATTTTATGAGAGGTTTGAGAATGTTTTCGCTTCATTAGGAAATTGTGGCGGAACAGATTAGACTCTGGCGGGCCGCACTGGACTGGGAAAATGGGAAACGCTGGACTGTATATGAAGTCATATCCCTATTTACATTCAAACGGGTGCTATTTTTAATGGGATATCAAAAGTGTTAGTACAATAAATAACTATAGTTACCAGCAGGTTGCTAATGTCTTTTTGGCTACCAAACTATGAAAACTGGAAGTAGGCTATTATTTAACTGACCTCTTCAGCAGGGGTCCTCAACTACATTTGTTTGACACTGTGGTGGCCGGACTTTCAAAAATAATTGCCATATTAATTAATATTTTCAACTTTCGCAAAATGAATGTTTTTATTAGCTTATATCAGTGTGAACAGACTCCTTAAAAACATGGTAGGCCTAAATCCATAATTGATAAATCTACATAGGCCTACTTAACTATAAAATGATCTCAGACCGCAGCCAAGGAGTTCACTGAGGAGTTATTGTTTTAAATCTGTAATTGTAAATAACTGATGGTTTTGACGCTATTTTGCGGCTGCGCCGTTATTGTGCGCGAGACACCTGTAGTGACTGGTGGTAACAGCAGATACCACTGGGCACAGAAGTCTGGGGCAGCTCAACAAACTACTGTCAGGCAGTTATTGGTATTTTCCATAATTATGTGAGCTGTCATGATCTGACTTCATGCTGCACATGAGATGAGTCTGCGAACAGCGAAAGTGAAAGGAGTTGGTTACCTGGCTGAGAAGGTGGAGGTGTGCAGCCTGTCGCCTGCAGCTCTTTATCTAACAGCTCACTGTGGCTGCTCCTGACTGTTGCATTACTTACTGCAATTTCAAACTGGTCCACTGTCAGAAAACTGTTGAGAATGATGATGGTCTTGTTGTGTAGCCACATTGTAGCGGTTTATACACGACAGCGGTCAGCACTGATCTCACTTACAAACAGCATTTCCTGTGACTACTTCAAAATAAAAACCAACTTGTGTTTTGCCAGTTAAATGCTTTTATAAGCTGCTGCACCAGGAAGTGTTCAGTTTGCATTAGCAGTAACTTAATACAGCATTTTTTTCACAGTTTACGCTGCATGATAACGCTGTTGTTCTCTTGCACTTGAAGCCAAAGTGGCTGCGAGTTTTTTCTTGCACTTTTTTTAACTCAGTAATGGATGTGATTGAAAATGGAGCGAAGTACAATACTTTAAACAACACATACTTAAGTAAAAGTAAAATTACAGATTACAGTACAAAGCACAAAAAAGCTACTGAATTACATTAACGTGAGCAATTGTAATTTGTTACTTTCGACCTCTGTTCATGACTATAGATGTCAGGGAACAGGCCTGTAGTCATTTGATCCAGAGATGGAGGGTTTTTTGGGGACCGGAATGATTGTGGAGTGTTTGAAGCAGGAGGGAACTTCACACAGCTCCAGTGATCTGTTAAAGAGGGGGGCCAGCTGGTCTGCACAGATTTTCAGGCAGGACGGAGACACACCGTCTGGGCCACAAGCCATCATGATCTTCTGCCTTTGGAAGAGCTCTTCACAGAGAGGGGGGTGAGAGCGTGACAGTGGAGGAAGATGATTGTTTTAAGATGGTGTTGGAGCGGGGGAGGGGTGTGATTGTGGGGTTCTCAAACCTTCAGTAAAAACCATTAAGCTTGTCATCCAGTCGTTAAGTACCAGCAGTGTTGGCACACACATGTCCTCACAAAAACTGATGTAAGATGTCACAGTGTCAGTTAGTTCGTCCAGGTCAGTGGCTGCAGCCTCAAAAACGCTCCAGTCAGTGCAGTCAAAACAGGCCTGTAAATCCAGCTTTGACTCGTTGGTCCATCTTTTCACCCTCTTTACAACAGGTTTAGCAGATTTCAGTCACTTCCTGTATGTCGGGATAAGATGAACCAGACAGGGATCAGAGAGTCCCAGGGCTAGAAGTGGGACAGAGCGATAGGCGTCCTTTAATGTTGTGTAGCAGTGGTCCAGTGTGTTAGTGTCCCTGGTGGGACACTTAATATGCTGTCTGTACTTTGGAAGTTCATGACTGAGGTTTGCTCAGTTGAAGTCCCCGAGAACAATGAGCTGTCTGTACTTTGGAAGTTCATGACTGAGGTTTGCTCAGTTGAAGTCCCCGAGAACAATGAGCAGGGAGTCTGGATGTTTTTTCTCCACATTAGTTATCTGGTGGGCCGGGTGTAGTAACGCCTTACTAACACAGGCCTGAGGTGGAATGTAAACAGCGACCAGAATCAACAAGGAAAAGGTTTAATAAAAAGGTTTATAGTTTATGAATAAGGTCTCTAAATGAGGCCTGCATGATTTCTTCAACACTGAGACATCTGTACACCAACCTTTGTTTATGAGGAGACAGAGTCTATCTCCCCTTGTTTTCCCATGAGCTCTGTTACGCGATCTGCAGGAAGAGATTAAATCCCGATAAGTGAAGTGCGCTGTCCGGGATGTGCTCGGTGAGCCAGGACAGCAGATCTGCAGAAGTCCGAGTTAGTTCTGTTGAGGAGCAGCAGTTTATCCATTTTGTTGGCCAGAGAGTGGACATTCAGGTGGATCGAAGGGAGCGCAGTGCAAAAAACAGAGATCCTCACAAGTCTTTGAGCTGGAGTCCAGGTCAAGTCTCAAGTCTTTGAGCTAGAGTCCAAGTCAAGTCTCAAGTCTCTCGTGGTTATTACGAATGTTGTATCACCTGCTGCGTTCAATCAAGGTTGCTTATAAAACTGCATAGCTATAAGGAATTCTGTAACTGTAACCTCTTTTTCATTTACAGAGCACAACCATGTAATGTGCAATGCAATTACTGACAGCTTATTAAATACTGTAAGTCAACAAACCCTGTTGATTTTCAAACCCAGTGTAAAGTTAACTAAATAAAACTGTTACATGTTCAACAATAAAGCTGTAACCTGTTTTTAACTTACAGAGCACAACCATAATGTGCAATGCAATCAATGACAGCTTAAACTATTGTAAGTCAACACACCCCCCACTCTCAAACCAGTGTAACGTTAAATAAATAAAACTGTAAAGTTACATGGTCAACAATAAAGCTGTAACCTGTTTTTAACTTACAGAGCACAACCAAGTAATGTGCAATGCAATCACTGACAGTTTAAACTACTGTACGTCAACATTGTTCACGAGTCCCGCACCTGTCACCGTGTGTGCGACTTAAGTCGCACTCGAGTCCGAGTCTCTAACTCGAGTCCCCATCTCTGGCAAAAAAAACCACTGTCCCATTTTAAGCAGTGCGCCAGTATGCTTCCCCCTTCGGCGTCTCCGGTAGATCCTGTACAGAGCGGCTGCTCCTCCAACTAATAACTCCGGGAAAGTTCTAGGTTCAATAAAGAGCAGTGGAATAGTGTGAGCAGTTTAAAGTCCAATATTTAAGAGCTCTTCTCTGGTAAATGTTTTTCCGAATAAGTTCTGACATAGCGAACTTGTAACTCACGACTGATCATCTGTTTCTGCTGTCGGCATCTTGCCTGGTTGTGCAGAGTTCTGCACACACCTCGCGGCTGGTAACACTCATTTGTGCTGAGAAAAGAGGTGGATGCAAATCTCAGCAGGTAGCCTTTATCATCTGTTCTGCCGAATTATGCATTCACCTCTTAAAGGTCCTTTTCAGATACTTTGCTCTGCACACTGATCAAACGGGGTTATCACCGCATATTTTTGCTGAATCTTATAAAATATTAACGACTCTAAACATTCATAAAATATATACTTCGAATCATTTATCACCATTGATGAACCCCACAAAGGATATTATAGTGTTTAAAAGCAGTATTTGGAAGTGCATGCAAATCACGGCAGGCATGCAAAACTCTGCCTAACACCGGATATTCCCACAACGGGAATATCCTTCAAGTTGCAACCAGACATGGCTGGTAGCAACCGGTTTCAGAACCGTTATAGCCCTACTCTGCCATCAGTGTGTGACTGTGACAAGGAGCGCAGTGCCAGAGTGTAAAGTGCTTTTAGAGGTCAGAAGACAGAAAGGCGCTATAGTTCCATTTACTAGAGCCAATGTTGCTGACTGAAGTTAAATGCCAACTTGGGAACACCACTTCTGTGATGCCAGGAATTGGAATTGTAAGGGCAGAAAATTGTTTTCTTCTTACACTTATCATCTTTTATGCAAGTACTTATAAGAGTGCTATTTTTCTCCTGTTATTATGTCTTATATATTGTTTTAAATCTTTAACCTGTTCCCCTCTTTATTATTGTTCTTGTTATTCCAGTCTGTCCACATGTGTGGGGTTTAGGTCAGGGATGTGGGGTTGTTGATTGTTTTCCTCACTAGCTGTTCTTCTCCTTCCTTGACTGGGACCAGTCAAGGATCTTTTGTTTCCCAAAACATAGATGCTCAGACTGTGTAAATGATCATGCAATTGTTTGCTCTGGGCCAGACGTTAGTGACTGTCTTAGGAGACAGAACCTCTGGTCCAGCTGATTCTGTTGTAGTACTTCTCAGTTTATTCTCTTTTGTTAAATAAATTCTTCAAAGACAACGGTTCGTTATAACTCAATTATTTGCTCAACCTCTCACCAGGAATACAATTTCCACGACAGGAATAAGTTATCTTTACATCTACAACTGGAATCCGTGCAGTACCTTGTTATATCTTCAGACAGCTGGGCTGGGTCCGGTGGATAAAATTTCACATTGAATGTGAAATTATAGTTGGCACCTTGAGAAAGCAAAGGAGGTTGTGATGAAATAATGTGAACATTAGAAACATGTTACAAAAAATGATTTGCTTTGTATCAATTGAACAGGAGGGGTGGGATCTTGATCAGCCGCTGCTTGTTTGGGTGGGTGATTTGCAGGCTGATCAACATCCCACCCCTCCTGTGACCCATGGTTTGACTGTATGTGTATTTAGAGCCAGTGAGCAACGGACATTCAAATATAATATATAATACGCGATAACGCGTTAACATGCCCAGGTCTAATGTGTATATATATATATATACCAACCTAAAATATGTGATTCTTGCCTGAGCATGTTTATATAAAAAAAAAATTTTTAGGGAAAAAAAAAGAAAAAAAAGAAAAACGTATATTTGTGGGTACAGTCCCACTCACCTTGTACCTGCCTGCGGATCTCCTTGGTAAGGTCCATCCAAGTCTGAGAAAATGAGGGATGTAGCATGAGTTTTGAAACACAAGTTTGTGAAAAAAACACATATGACATATTTCCATCACATTTTCCAAAATGTTTGAAGTTTGGCATTCTTATAATTAAATCAACTTGTTGCACCCTTTTCCACCGCAATGGTTTAATCGCACCTTACTGGAGAATTAGTGCTCTCAACGACTTATCTAGATGCACTCAACTTCTTATTTATAATGGTAGTCGATGGAAATATGCATTAATTAGCATTTTCTTTTGAAGATTTTCTGTAAATTGGGTGAAAATGTGCACTCTGTGTGGTTGGAAACCTGGCTAATGTTGGAAATGTCACAACAAATAGAATGCAGATTAGGTGGGTTTCCATCAGCTGCGTTGAAGCAATAAACCATCTACCTAGGCAAGGTTCCAATGCCAGGAAGAAAACATGGAAAAAATACGCTTGGCTGTCTAGAATTTACTGCTAGGTGATTTTGTTTCAGCTCACATAAGACAGAGATGATGACAGAGGAGCCAATAACTACTCTCCTAATGTAAATCAAACACACACTGCTCTCCTGACGTAAATCAACTAAGGTGAAATTACATTATGCTGAACCATGCCAAACCATGATCTTTTCCTAAATCTAACCAAGTAGTTTTGGTGCTTAAACCTAACCAAATTGTAACATTTCACAACATTAACAACGTGCCGCACGTTTAAAACGTTAACAGCATTAACACTTTCTTAATTTATGTTTTATTTTAAAAGGCTAACCAGATGTTGCATATTTATTGTTGCTAACATGACCCAATATTGCATATTTATTGTTGCTAACTTGACCGTGGAGCCCTAAACGTGAAACAACGTTAAAGGGTACCCAGTATGCTAAAAAGCGACGCCAAGGGGTCTTGACCAAGCGTCCATATGTGACGAGTTAGGAGTGATGTATGTATGAATGTATTGACCACTTATAACTGTTACTTCTTCACATTCTGTTGACAAAGTTAATTTTTTGAATGTTTTAAATGAAAATTCTTGCCATAACTTTGTACCTTTAAACCGAAAATTGTTGTGCAATGTGATGGGACCAAACAGCTGATCTTTCATGTAATATACTTATTTGACAAGTGTGTTTCCATTGTCTATTTGTCGAATAATATCTTTAAGGACAAAGAGAAAAAACACTGCAACTGAATGTATAACCCTTGTAGCGATATTGAGGAAGTTTTGTCGAATTTTCTCACTTCCATCCACTTTTCTACTTAGCTAAATTGTATTAAAATGCTTGGATGAAAACATGGCTTTGTGTTTACCCGTTGCATATTAACCTTTCAAAACGAAGTTGTACATTACTGTTTTGAGCCACTTTTTGGTTACATTAGGTAGGCATACACAGTTTCAGAACAAACAATAAAAAAAAAAAAAATGTACAGCAGAGGAAGAGGTAAAGCATTGTTTCAGAACGTGCACAAATTATTAAAAGATTAATTGACACAATTATCGCATCATTCTGATGAGCAGCCAATGAAATTAACATGGATTTAGGCCTAGTAGCAAAGCCAAACCCAACAGCACCACTGTGTAGCATAAAATTAACAAAGGCCATTAAATAATTAATCAGAATTATTTTTGAATGTGAAAGCCCTAATAAAGAGCCTTTTCTTCTCTTAAAGGAATACTGAGGTACGGATTGTTGGACAGATACTAACTAGTGAAATTTGGAATCCAGCTCACCTTCATGGTGGGGGTCCCCCAGATGGCCAGGCCATAGTAGTCTTTCTCTAGCAGGTTGAGGTGGTCACACACCTTCATGAACAGCTCGTGGCCTTTGGCATGTTTCTGACACACACACACACACACACATAACATAATTAATTAAGATGCTTGGTGTTTGATATGTGTTTGGGGTGGATATAAATGGTTGGTTTGAGTTTCTAGCTGAGCCTCCTATCTTCACAGAGGTGTGTAGCATGGAGAGGGCGACAAAATACTAGGATTGTCCATGGATTTCCCCATTTGCCTTTTGCACGAAAATTGCTTGCTGCCCCCCGGTACTGGGGGTGTCGGTGCTCAGCTGGCGAACTCTAAATGCAGTAAACTAAAAAACAATGTGTACATGAGAGAGGGAGGATGTGGTTGTATGTATGAGGGTGAGCACATCTGGGTGCGCACCAGGAAGAATGTGTGTTTGTATTTCTTAGTTCTGCCACTTTATGTTGCATGTGTTCCTCACTGTGTGTGGTTGTGTTGAAGGCCAAATCAATATCTATGTATGCGATCGGTGTAATTGTGCCACGTTAGAAAGTGTTAGGCTGTGTTCAGACAGAAGGCCAAAGTAAGATTTTTCTGCTCATATGTGACTCAGAAGTGTGAGCAGCCCAAGTCACACGGATTCTGATCTTTTTAGATGTTCGGATTTGGGCCACTTTCATATGTGGCTGAAATGCGATCTTAGTCCGGAAAGTCAGATCACAAATCATGCAACAGATTTTTAACAGCTCTCATTTGACAGACACCAGCTTTGCGTCGAGTCCTGACCCCTACTCTGCCTCATTGGCTAACCCTAACCCCACCCTAACTCTAACCTAACCAACTCTAACAGAGGCAACAAGGACTAAGAGGCAGACTTGTCAAAACTCTAGCAGGTAATAAAATAACATGTGTACTTCGGTATAACACGTGTGACATAGTATTTTGCGCAAGCAGGCCACTTTCAGGCTATGCTGAAAATAACTATAAAACTAAAATGCCAAACAGCCTTCGCTCTCATTTTCCTGATAGGCGCAAAAATCCACACATTTCAACCACTAGGAGGCGCTATTAGCAAGGTCAACGCATTTGGGCTTGGAACTCCTGCATACGAAAGCGCATATCAAAAACCTTACATCTACACGTTCGGGGGATCGAGCTGAATCTCGTGGTATAGCCCACGCCCATTTCCATCTATAATTAGTTTTTTGCAAAATCTCGAAAACTGAAAAACCTTTTTTACCTCCTCCGAAGCTACAAGTCTGATCGACACCAAACTTGGCACGGATAATCTCTGGAACAAGCTGATAAGAGTTTGTCAAGGAAATAAAAATGTCGCAATTATACGACAACAAATATTTGCGAAAAACGCTAAAAACAGGAAGTGATGTCATATCTTAGGTTTGGAATGACCGATCAACACCAAATGTGGAGCAATAATGTGGGACGCCCCCCTGAGGGCCTGTGCCCTAATTTTGGTGTAACACTGATTGCTTTTTTACTTACTGTATTACTGTATATGAGTATTTATGACATATTAATACTTTAAAGTGAGATGCTATGATACTTTCAACGTAAGCCCGTGGCTGCATGCATTAAAATTTAATCCTTTAACCTGTTGAAATTTAATTTTCTCTTTGAGTGTGCATGCTGTATAGAAAAGTTTTAATTTAAAAATGATCTTACATCCAGCTCACATGCATACAGAGTGTCGTCCAGTAGGGTGACTTTGATCTGCATAGTCTTGGGCCGGCGTGGAGCTCTGGGAGCTTTGTCTTCCTCCTCTGCTGACTTCTCCACCTTCTCCTCATCCTTCTCCTCCTTCTCTCCCTTACTGCCTCCTTCAGGACTGGACTCCTCCTTCTCCCTTTTCTTTTCTTCCTTGTCCTCATTCTCCGTGGCAGCTTCCTCTCCTTTCTCCTGGTCATTCTTTTTGTCCTTTCCACCCTCTTCAGCTTCTTTCTTCTCTACCTGGACAGCCTGACACAGACACTTTGATTACACTGCAGTATACACTCTAAAACTTTGTGATAGATTGAGTCTTCACTTTAACACTGAAGACAAGTATATTTACAATGAAGTTAAACTGACCAGGCGGAGTGAAGGCACACAGTACTGTGCACAAGTTTTAGGCAGATGTGGAAAAAATGCTGTAACGTAAGAATGCTTTCAAAAATATACATGCTAATAGATTACATTTATCAATTAACAAAATGCAAAGTGAGTGAAGAGCAGAAAAAAAATTCTATGTACACTTCCACAGAGTCAGGGATTTTGTAGGCATAATACCAGGTGTATGATTAAACAATTATACCAAACAGGCGCTAATGATGATAAATTCAGTATGTACATTAAAACACAATCATTAAGTGAAACAGAAACAGCTGTGTAGTAGGCATAGGAGCCAAACTCAGCTAATAAGTTGAGGCTGCTGAAGACAGTTTTCTGTCAAAGTCATACACCATGGCAAGACTGAGCACAGCAACAAGACACAAGTTAGTTATACTGCATCAGCAAGGTCTCTCCTAAGAGACATTTAAAGACAGACAGGGGTTTCCAGATGTGCTATCCAAGCTCTTTTGAAGAAGCACAAAGAAACGTAAACTCAGTGGTCAGTCAAAGAAACTTACTGCAGCAGAAAAAAAACGCATCATGCTTCCTGCATGTTTGGAGCTGCATTTCATCATAGTCCCCAGATTTATTCTGCAGCATGACAATAACCCCAAACACACAGAGAAACTCATTAAAAACTACCTTCAGGGTAATGAAGAACAAAGAATCCTGGAAGTGATGTGACACCCACAGAGCAACATTGTTGTGTACCAACAGTGTGGATTTGTGCATTTTATACCAAACAAATTTGGACTACTCCAAATTTTCTCTCTCTCTCTGGGAGAAAGAAAAGGAGGGGGTGAAACTCAACTCAACAGATGGTTGAAGAGACCCCAAAGGAGGGGGGTTGAAAGGTTGCTTTCCCTAAGTGCTATTCCTGGGCAGTTGATCATAAAACTGGCCACCTTTGGCAACAGCCGAGATAAGCTTCTCAGTGCCTGAACTGTTAAAATGAAAAAAGGAACACTAACCAGAGATTAGCGTTTTCCTGAACAGCCTATCAAAACTCTTCTTAAGAGAGGGCAGGAAACCATAAACTGCCCCCCACACACATAACCATGGCAACTGTTTGCCTCCATTTGAGTAGTTACGTTACTTTGTTGTTGTTTAAAGAATCTAAATAAGTTAATTTTGCAGTGTTTTAATTTTCAGCAAGGTTAATGACATTTCTTCATTTTATGTGTAACCAATGCTTGTTCCCAATACTATCTGACAACTCCTTTAGAAATGATGATAAAGAAATGTCATCCTACACTTGATTAATTTTCCAGCTTGGATGTAAGGTTAAAAATGACTAAATTCCACAGCTGCGGAGCAAAGTCTTGTTTAAAGAATAATCAAAGTTGAATATCTACTCCTCATGTAACCAGAGCTCCCCCAAGTGGACAAAATAAGTATTGCATGCCATGATTCCTATGAAATGCTAACCTCAAAGTTTTAACTAACTAACATTGTTCTTCCTTTTTATCAAGTGCTTAAAACTAAGAACGGTACAGCCGTGTGACAATTAAGGTTTTATTGTGGGAAGATATTTGACTACAATACGCGCAAATAGATAAGACAAGCCCCCCTCAGGGAAACAAAGGACTGCCCTCTGGGAACCACGCCCCAACAGACAAAAGCAGCGACCCACGCTGTCTCTCCTTCTCTCTTGTCCTCTGTTTGTTCCTGGCTCTTCAACGGTGCTTCGGCACATGCCCAGCGCGCCCCCTCTCCTGGCAATGCCCTAAGAGTTCGGCCCGGGGCAGCGAACGCCCTTTGTTCGTTTCAAGCTACACACGCAAAGTGCCGGTAACTTCAACTTTCCCTCATTTAACAGCAACTTTACTTGCGTTTTATTTTCTCTGGTTTTGTTTTGTTAAAAGTTATCAGTCCGATAAGTTACACTAGCTTTGATTCAAGAACGACCAAGTTCTTTTTAAGCCTTATCCGTCGAGCAAACATCCACGTGGTCTCGCTAGCGGTAACAAAGGACACCTGAAAGAACAGCCTAATTGCCAGACGGTCAATCCTCAAGGGTTTTCTTCATTTAAGACACAGAAAACCCAGGAAAATCCCCTAGCAAAAGCCAGGAATCGGGCAGCTAGCATGGGACCCATGCAACCGGCCAAGCAGGCCGCCAACCCGAAGTAAGGCAAAACAAGGCATTCTGTGATCAGTTATGTCCCATAGTCTATTAGTCCAGTATATTTAATCCTTGAAACTCCTAGACAAATTTAACCGAGTTATCATCTAATTGCATTCATGCCGTATGAGTCAAATTCTCCCACAATAGACCTCCACATTCTCATTGTTTAGCCATTGTTCACAGCCACAGGGTCAGTTAGCTAAATCTGGAGTGCACTCCTATTCCGAGTATTTACGGTAAATGCTCACACATGGAGCAGCTCGTTGTTCTGCGGTTATCAGCTGCTGTTTCAACAAAAACGCCATTCAGGATGAAAATTCAACCGTGGTGTTGTATGATTTAACCAGCGGTGAGTAAGAAATATTATGAATAATACATGTAATTTGTTAAGCAATAAGGAGAGGAAAAGTCCGCTAGCCGCTAGGCTAATTTATGTAGTGTTAATATGATATAGGCTAAAGCTCTTAAGCTAGTGGTGGTGACTAACAAATAAACTAATCTTGACAGTTACCATTAAGAAGAATTTTATGCTTCTGTTAAATGTGATTGCTATGAAGCCGTGTTTTATGTGTGGTGGTGGAGTCAATTTAAAGTTAACTTAACTGCACTTAACCAGTCGAAATGATTTAATGTAGGCTAGTTACTGTACTTCTATGTCTTACACAGAAGACAGAAGGAGGCATGCGGAGAACATAACCATAATTGTCAGAGGAAAAGAAGAAGAAGGAGGAGGAGAAGGAGAGCAACAAAGAAAATTATCCCCAAATAATAAAATAATTTCCCTTATATTCCCCCTTACATGCCTTATTGTTTATGTGTAGATACAGAGGAAGAATGGGAGAACAGCACATATTTACTGTGTGTTAGAGCATGGGAGAACAGTAGATACTTTTAATACAGTCCACACCCCTAATATTACTGTGTAACTATAACAGGTGGAGAACATTCAAGATTTTTTTTTACAACTGTCTGCATAGTTTATTTATCTTGAATGAAAATAAATAGGCCTACTAGGCTCCTCTACTTTGACATTTAAGATTAGCTTGTTTGGATCCACCTTCATACACATGTGACATTACTGTACAACTTGAGAAAGGTGAGTTGTTTTCTGCTCCAGCCTGCCTAAAAGAAAAGCGTTTTTGGGATTAAATGGACTTTATTAGCTGCTGCAGTGCAGGATGAACTAACAACAGACCCATTTCTCACCTTATTATTCTAAATCATGCAATGAAGAAGAAGAAATGCATAATAAATCCTGGGACAAAATATGTCCACAAATACTGTACAGCATGTAGTCTAATAAACAAGCCTTGTGTTATAGCTGACTTGGGCAGTGAAATGTTTAATTTTTTTAATTCATGTTGTCCACAACTCAAATCAGAATTTAGTGTTTTATACCACCTCAAGAAGACTTTCTATCAGAAAGGTAGGAAGGTATTTCAATGTACAACTGCAGTACTTAAATCTAAGTAAAATAATTTCCCTGACATTTTTGTGTTATTTTACTTTTAATAGACGTATGTAACAGGTTTTATACTTCCTGTGAGTATAATCCAATCAGTCTTATTTTCATACTGTATATCCGTTGTGTAATTTGATAAATTGTGTTGTATGTGGTGCTCGCATCGTGTACTATTGAGACTTCATTGCCCTCTTCAGAGAAGACTCTGACTGCAACATGCGTCTTTGTAAAGAGAGAAACAGACAGAAAAAAGTCTCTAACTCTGCCTGTCAGCTCGCTCTGCTCCGTCAAAACTGAATTTACCATACAGAATTGAATATGAGTGCACTCCAGATTTAGCTGCAGCTAGCTGACTGTGTGCTTCTCCCTATATCACAGTTCTGTGTCCATGCATGCAGCAAACTGAAAACATTCTGTCAGAGCGTGCACACAAAAAGGAAAGGAAGACATTGCTGGTAGTATTGTCTTCAAATAGTTTCTAAACACCTCAGCGCACTGAAGGAAGCCATCTGACTGTGTGAGGAGCAAGCTTGTTGTCTGCAGGCAGAGTAGGCCTAGAGCTCTCCTGTCTGACTGGTCCACCAATAGCAGAGAAGATGACCCCTTGAGACACAGCCCCTCCTCATTTGCATAATGAGGCAGAAATGCATAGAGAAATGTAAAAAGGACAGGCAGAAATAAATACCACTGGGGAAATAAATGAAAATGAAAATGCAACGGAAGAATAAAACAGACAGAAATATTTAAAAACACACATAAATAAATACATTTAAAAAAGAATTAATAAATAAAGTTGAAGATTATAACGGACAATAAATAAAAAAGGTAATTCTTACAAAGGTGAATCAGTAAAGAAGCTAATTAAAATACATTTATGTCTCCTTGTATAATGTAATTACTGCCTACATTTATTTATTTACTTTATTTTTTTGTGCATTTAATCGGATGCATATTTATTTATTGAGCATTTATTTATTTCTGTATTTATTACTGAATTTGTCAGGATCAGTCCTCTATAAATGGCAGCTGAATCCTTCCCCATACAACTCTTAACCCTAATGGGAACCAAATCAGTTGTACTCCCTCTTGTGGTATAATTATGGTATTCCCTAACTTTGGAGCTTCATTGTGTACAGTCCTGTAAGTTAGACACATTTTGATTTGTGAAACACGCTCTTCTACCCTCTAGCCATTTAAGGCTGATGAAATGAGCGGAAAGAAGATGTGTCCTAGATGGGAGTTTAAGGACCAGACGCACCATTTTATTTTGCAATGTCT